AGCAGGAAGACAGGAAATACCTCCGCCGCTGGAATAAACTCTCCCCAAATTGGACAGAATTTCCTGCTCATAATTTGCTCCCTTTTCCCCTCAGAAACGGACCCATCCATCAGTTCAATGATTTATGCGTTGGACTCGGCGCCGCGGCTGACGGAGCTCCTACAGCGACTCACCAGCTCCTATTTGTCTCCGAGAGTAAATAAACAAAACGTCCACTTCAAGATGGCATCTCATTAACTCGTAATTACGGCGAAAGTGTCCCGTAACAAGTACAAATTAACACGGTGTCACATATGAAGGACTACGGGGGGCTGGGAACGCAGGCGGGGTCGCCGCTAAATTGTATTAGCTTCCCTGAGAACAGCATATTGACTCTGCACATTGGATTAGCAGGTAAATGTAGTGGAACAGCATTAGAAAGGTTTCCTTAATAAATGAAGGAGGACAAGAGCCGCCTGACCTTGACTCTGTCTGTCTGGAAGTGGAGCTCATTTCATGCCCGGTATCGACTGTGTGCTGATTAAACCCATATGGAAGCACATATAAACAACAGAGCATGTCCTGTGTGCACGCCACATCAAATCCATCAAACGGGTTTGAATGTAGAACAATGCAAAGGACAGACTTTGCATGTATCTGGATGGTGCACGTCCAGGATGTCCGAAAATCGCCACGTTCCCCCTCACGTTGTTTCCTCTGTCTGTCGCCCACATGTCAGGGTCGGCCATTTGTCTGCCCCGGAGGTCAAAGGTGGCATCCGAACCGCCAAAGGTTAACCAAGCAGCAAATAATAAATTGGCCAGTTTCGACCGGCCACCACCGGAGTTCCACTTGTGGGTTGTAATTAATCGTTATCGCCGAGAAAAGGAAAAAAAAAAAGGGTGTGTGTGGTCTGTTGGAGGGATGCTACAGCTGTCGAGCAAAGAATTCCTGGAGGTAAGATTCCAGAGAACAAAAAAAAACAACTGCCCTCGTGTGTCCAGCGTTTGGGATTCGACCCAGATCTGCAGTCCAAAACAAAGAGGCCACGACTGTACGACTTCCAGGATCTGAGTCGTGAATTATTCGTGTGCGAAAGCCCAGAGATAAATGATCAGATCTTCCAACGCAATATCCCACACTTAAGTGGATTAAAGCCATGTGTGCTGCCACAGCTTCGTCCTCATATCGGGGCCCTTTTTTTTTTGATTTTTTTTTCTTCCCCTTGTTTGTTTACTACAGATGCAGTCATCTCGCTGCAGGCACACACACACAGCAATAGAGCTCCTCACCAAATAACCAACATCCGCTTTTTGGAGGGGAAAAGCAAAACAGAGCAATCTGCCAACGGTTAGGATCCTCTGTCAACCGCCATGTCATTATCATTCTCACACATGGACATGAGCGGGACGAGGAACTGAACTCCTCCGCCGAGAGGAAGATCAAACCCGTGTTTTTCTAGCTCGGATAATCATTTTTTCATTTCAATCGGTCAGCGAGGTTGTCGGCACGCCGTCGACCGACTTCTCTCGCGAAAATAAAAAAAAGCACCATCGCCTGGACTCGTTCAAATCATAACCCAGAGCTTGTTTTCCTTCTTTGTCCTCAAGATGTCTGAGGTTGTAAATAACTGGAGGAATACTTGCGCTCAGTCGCACACAGCGCGGCTATTGTCTGCGCTGTAAGAGTATCCGCCGCTCTGCTCCGCTGCAGGCCTGAATTAAATAAGGCTGCCTTGAAAGCCACATTCTTAATGAGCCATGCTTTTTGAATTATCTCTGCGAAACCAGAGGGATGGCACCGAAGCCGTGTTTGGAGAGGCCAGATTTTTATCTCGAGCCCCGAGTACGGATGAAGATTGATCTCGTATAGGCGGCTGTTTACGCTCGTGCGGCGTGTCGGAGAGGAAATATTTCACGTCAATTATTTGTGGCGGAGCAAAACCTGCGGCGTTGAAGATCAGCATGCGTTTATCATAAGAGCATTTAGAAACCCAGTCCGTCTTTTAGTTACCGTTTCCAGAATTTCCAAGTTGAAATTTGGAGTATTTTTGATGCAATGTTTGCTTAATTTCACAAATTAAAGGCAGGATTTTCATTTTTAGTCGAGTTTCCCGTCTGAAATGACAACTTTCCCCCAAGAACTGTTTAGAAACTAGATATTGTTCAGCTGATTTCATTTTCAAACTAGAATTGTGCAATATTGGCTTTAAATTTGCACTTGATGACTGCTTACATATCACCATGGCGACTGGTGCATCTCAAAATATTCATCCTTTTTCTCATAATTTAATTCATAAAGGTAAACTTTCCTGTGTTCTGTATTAATTGCATGGAAAGAAAAGTATTTCAAGCCATTTTTGCTTATTATGGCTTGTAGCTCATGAAAATCTGAAATCCTGAATCTCAAATTATTAGAAATTTTCTGATATTTTGGAGTTTGAGTGACTTACTATAAAAACTGTATAAATATTGAGTTCCTCTCAGTCTAGTTTAGTACACGCAACAATCACAAGATCTAAATGTTTAACTGATCTCAGGAAATATTCCAGTAATCTGAGATGCTGGATTTCAGATTTTCTTGAGCTTTAAGCCAAAATCATCAAAACGAAAACAAAAAAAAAGGGCTTGAATATGGATATTTAATCAGATCAGTCAAAAAAACTGGACTGAGAAGTACATGCTATTTGTATTGTTTGAATAGTAACTTACTTAAACGCCAATTATTGGAATATTTTAATCATTTGAGATACTGGATTTCTGATTTTCATGGGCTATGAGCAATAATCAGGAGAATTAAAACCAAAAAAAAGGCTTAAAATATTTCACTTCACGTTCGCAATCAGTCTAGAAGTTATCAAATTTTCTCTTTTACAAATCTAAATTAAGATTTTTAAGATGCAGAAGCACCACTGAGTCACCAACTACTCAGCATGGAGCCATTTGAAGCACAAAAATAATGATTAATCTGTTTTTGTGCTTGGCTTGTGCACTTGTTTCTATGTTGTCAGTTTGAGGAGTAAAAGCTTTCAGGCCGAGGAGGAACCGATGTGTTGGGAAGAAAACACTGTTACGTGTCCCGTCGCTGCTGCTTAACTTCCTCAAATCCAATAAAGCGGAGCTACTTACGTTATCCTGATCTTCGATTGCATCCAGCTTTCAAACGGAAACTCGACACCGAGGATGTGCAAGTCACAGGTTTTCCTTTTAATCCGTAAATCTAATGGAGTTCATTAGGAGACACAACGAGGGTGTTGTCTGGTTTGTTTTAGAGCAGGACAGCGTTTCATCCGGTTCTTTAACATTTTGCCGAGGTAAGTTAGCTTTGGTACGATTGGACGAGTTTAAGTTCATTTTTCAGTGGACGGTTTCGCTTTTTCGCGTAAGAAGCTGCAGTAAAACAAAAACGCGCACATGTACGGACGATCTCCCCCGAAACGACGGACTTCAAAGCGGCGCATTCATTCGACTTCGAGCATTCGAGAATCGTTGTTTCGCAGACGACATGTCACTGTTTCTGGACGTAGATTAAAGCTACGGCGCAGCTGTAAACCATTGTTTCGTTTTTAACAAGGAGAAGACTCGCTGCTTTCTTCTTTTTATTCACTTTTCATGATTGAATCACATCTGTCACGGAGTTTGTTGACAAGCGAATTGGAAACCGTTTGATTGAATTTCCATCAAACATCTCAATCCCTTGATGTTCCCCATAACAAAAAACAAAAAAACCCAGCGAACAATGGCGCTCCTCAGTTTACCAGCATGTTGTTGCTCAGTGTGCTGCATGATAATGATCTCAACAAATGTCTGTCAGGATGAACTGGAAGAAAACAAGAGGAAATGCCTACTTAGCTATGACACTGGAGTCTACACAGCATGGTCATTGTAGCAGAGGGACGTAAACTCGGGCTAGGATGTTTAAAATAGGTCCAAAACTCCTGCACATTGCAGATGCAGCTCGTCCATTTGTCAGAGCAGCCAGAAGTAGGATGCTTACCTTCTTCCTCCTTTAACTGTTGTTGTTCACCCAGTGTTTGAGTGTCATGCGTGTGTTGTGCCATGTTCTGCTGTTTGTCCCTTTAGGGATTGCCTGGTCTCCCTACGCTGGCTGCTTTGCACAGCAATCAGATCCTGACTGTCAAGGTTTGTTGGTGGTGCTGCCCGGCCGCTGGGCCCGACCCCTGCGCGAGCACGCACACGCTGGACGTAAATGAATCACCGCCGGGGCCGCTCCTCGCCGACGATAGAGTCGCGCGCAGGACAAAACCTCCGTCTAATTAATCAAAGCCAGTCAGTCGTTATCCTCTTCTCGGGAGATTTGTTCCCACATGCCAGGTCTCCCGCTGCAAGCAGAGGTGGCCTTTTTTACAAGCGAGTAATACGTAGCTGACTGGAACAAGACGGAGGAATGGTCTGGCCCGTGTCCATTGATGCAAAAATGAACGGAGGCAGGGGGGGGAGACCGACGAACCAAAGTGGCAAAATGTTTTTCTAAAGCTCGTGCTTATGGTTCGCCACAAATCCACCAATTTGGCCTTCAAGGATTGTTTCAGCCGCTTAATACCAATGGACACCGGCGGAATAACACGGGCATTGAAAGGTCGGTTTCGGTGTGTGCGGCTCTCAGGGTCGGACTTAGCGGCGGGCACGATGATGATGATGACAGCACTTTCACAGAGGACGAGGAATTCCCATTTTTCCACGGGGGATTGCGGCTCAAGAGGCGGTAATTATGGGCTGAGAAAAACTTCCGCCAAAAAAAGTGCTGGGGAAAAGTGTGGGTTTCTCATCTGTGAAGGTGCTGCGGTTCATGAACACAGGTCTTTTCTAACAAAAGTCTTTCTGCATTTGCTTCTTTCCTCCTCTTTTCTTCTTCCTCTTCTGGGACTTCATCCTCCTTCAACCTTCTCTCACCTCCGACCTCTTGACCTCACACACCTGCTCAGATGGTCTTCCCTAAGATCAATCACGGCTTTCTTTCCGCTGACCAGCAGCTCATAAAGCGACGGCTCATTAAGGTAGTGGGTTGTGTCCTCTTTTCTCTCTCGTTCTTGTCCGTCTGTCTGTCCGTCCACGGAGTCTCAGCCAATCACTTCCCTCTGGCCGGTTTGCATGCAAGCCTTCAGTCACAAGCACTCTTACACTCTGTTATCGTTAATATGGAAGTTTTATTAAGGTAACATGAATTACTGTCCTGGCACTCCTCAAAGAACTTTCCCTACTATTTAGATTGCTGAATATTTTCTTAGAATTTCTTACAATCCAGTGTAACAGCGGACCACACATTTTCAGTATTCTCCTCCCAGCGATCATCGTAGCTTTTTGACGCACAGTCTTTGTTCAGCTCATTTCGGATTGCATGCATTGCGAGGGATTAATACCTATAAATCATCACATTACTCTTCCTTGTTGTACGCTAGCTCCAAAAAATGCAAACCTCTCTTCCATGTTATGAATGGAGGCGGCCCACAGCCACCCACGAGATTCATTCCACCGCTCCTCTCTTCATTATCATTTAACTGTAGAGCCTCTAGTCTGGCTGGATCCAACAATATCACGCCGTAATGATGCCGATTTTGTTGCCACACAGGGAGATCAGGGGCAGGCGGGACCACCCGGGCCACCGGGGCCGCCGGGGCCTCCTGGACCCAGAGGGCCTCCAGGGGACACCGGCAAGGACGGACCCAGAGGTGTGCCTGGTCTACCGGTGAGGACTGATTTCTACATCTGCAGGAAGTTTGATGAATCTTTCGTTGCTGCGAGGGTTTATTCCAATGAAAACCTTCCTAATGAACGCTGCAGCTAATTTCCCAACAACCCGGCACGCTCCCAGGGGAATGTTTTACTGTATAGATTTACTTGGTTGTTTTTCATCATAACATTTTCCACGTCTCCAAGCCCGTCACCGGCTAATTTATGTGAACTCTGCCCGCGAGAGAAAGAAGAAAAGGGCCTGTCAGTTACGTTCAGCAGTAAAACCGTCTGACGGGTCCAGCTGATCTTTATTGTCTTGGCGGAGATCACGACTGGGGGAGTGCAAAAAATGTTAAAAATAAATAAAAGTTATGTGTTGTTTATCTGGTTCTTTCCAAGTTTTTGTTCCAGTTGCAAAAGTCGTCTTTTTTTTTTTTTTTCCCTCCTCCAAGAAGTGCAGCTTTATTTCCTCCTCCCGCATGAATCACACAAAAGGCGACAGAAAGTGTCCCGTAAATGTCACAAAGAGGCAGAAATGGAATAATAATCTTGAGTGTGGACACGGCGGGAGTCCAAAAGCAGAGGCTAGAACAAGGTTGCAGATGGCGGAGGCTACAGGTGGCGCAGCACCATAAATGCCCCCCCAGCCAGCTCGGTATACGAACATAACAGTCCTGCTCTTAGCAACCTGGCTGCACCATGCAGTGGCTGCTGAAATTCAAAATATAAAATGGAAAATACAGCGTTTTTAATCTGAAAATTTGGCTAATATTATTCTCAACTTCTCAGGGAGCCCACTGCTTTCCCATTAACTGGCTGTTTTTATGCTTCTCGCAGGGCGATCCAGGGCAGCCGGGAGAGACCGGACCCATGGTGAGCATAAACGTTACCTTTCGAAAGCACATTTTCATCTTGATCTGTGGTTGAACTTGGATGCTAAGTTGGCAACGTACACTGAAAAACTGCAGTTCTTAAAAAAGAACCCAACCTTCACCCTACTGCTGGGTCAGTACGGGACAGAACACATTAAACGCAGAATGCTGGTTTGCTCATTTGACCCAACACAGTGAGTCATCGCCTACTTTTATGTTTAATGCTTCGACTACCACTAACACTGGAAATGTGTGATTTTGGGTGATATTACAGGAATAAAACGGACTTTCATTGACCGAAATCTACTTTGAAATCAATCGAACCAGCTGATGGTAACAAGAGGCGAAAAAAAAAAATCTAAAAATAAATATATCTTTGAAGTATAAATAGCCCGACTAAAAGCAAAACAAATGGACTCATTGGGGGGAAAAAAACCTTCCTATTAAGGTTGGATTTATTTTTAAACCAGCACTCAACCACAAAATTCAAAAAGGTTGCAGATATAAGTCAGCTAACATTACACTGGTTGTTGAAGTTGGCTAGTTAGCATTTAGCGCCACCAGTTCTTACACCACGATGCACTTAAGATTACGCCTTTAACGCAACTTAATAAACATATAGCTAAAGTATTCTTATTAACACATCATAACATCCTCCACATCGTGAGTTATATGTGAACCTCAGACCTCAAGAGAAGGATCTAGAAGGTTCCACAATGAATGAGCGGGAAAATGAACGAACCAACAGCTGCAAACAAAGCCCTAAAAACTGCTTTTACCCGACACGAGAAACCCAACCGCACTTTGCGTGACTCAGTTATTAAAATGCAGACGATTAAGAGCCACAACCAGCGAGTTCAACAGCTGGAAATATAAACTTATTCTTGTCCACAATCAAATGTGGAAAAAATACCACTTGCATGTGTTGGGTTTTTGCCAATATCCAACATTCCAATAGCCGATCCAATTGTTTGCATATATTCTGTAGTTTAACTCTATTATTAATCTTATAACCTGCTGAAAATACCGTGTTTTTCCAATGTAAACATTCACCAGCTAAAATTAGAAAACCACTTAAATGTAAGTGAAAACGTGCTGTATTTACTTTGATGTAACATTTTTAAACCAACTTTCAACCTCATAGGTGTTATCTGCCCGTCGGTTCATGTTGATTTTAAAGCCTTTATCAGCCAATACCGATGGCGAGCCAATATCATCGGTTCAAAAGTAACACAACCGACCATCCAACACCTCCAGAGCTCCGTTCTTCCTGGAATTACCAAAACACACTGATTCCAGTGAGGCCGACTGCCAAGTAGAATTAATATTTATGGTGTCATTACTTATATCCATAAATACCTTGTGTTTCTGCTATAAACTGGTGCTATGCATAACATACTTAATAACAGCGTGCGTTTCATTAATATTCACTATAATACCTATAAACCATAGTGAAAATTAACGACACATTTTATGATAACCTGCAAAAAAAAAACGTGTTGTTTTCTCTCGCAAAACCCTCCGCGCAGCCCAGGACAAGCTGTTCCAGTTAACAGCAACTGGATACCGCCGGTGATGTTCGGCAAATAAAGCACTTGATTAAAGTTTCCTCGTAAAAACGCTGCACCGAATAGGTCAGTCCGGATTCCAGAGCGGGTGAGGAAAAGGAAAACGTGACACGAAAGCGCTCGGTGATGTCAGATTTCACAAGTGCAGGGGAGTGAAGCTGAGTGAGGCCGACAGACGGAGGTACTATCAAACGCTTTCATCTCCCGGCTCCATCTCCTCTGACCTTTTCGCGGCGTGGAAAAATTTGGTGGATCTGGGAAGAAACGGACGGAGGAAATGGTTTGGGCGAAGTCGAAGCAGGGAGAAAGACACCGAAGAGTCTAGAAGCTGAAGCTAATCATTTTTAGATCACTGCCATCAGTGAATTTGACTCCCTCCTTCTGCTTTTTTTGGATTTAATTAGGCTTTGTAGGCTGTTTTGTTTCGAAATTCACCGAATGTAAAATCTTCAATGGATGGTTCCAGGTGTTCTCCTTTAGCGCTTACAGACGGCAGCTGGAGTACTTCTCCAAAAGATGAATGGTGAATCCCATTCACAATGAGCTCAGAGCCTTCGCGCGGGGCTTTGAATACAAAACGCTCGCCGTAATTCTTGACTGTTTCACCAGTATATACACAGCGTGACATTAATGTACTTTTAACAAGGAGTAATGTCATCATCTGGAAATCAACCCCCCTCCTGTAAGGCAGCGTGAGATGAGCACGTAGTTGTAAAAAGATGGCTGCAGTTGTCATTTCGCAGCCTCTGATTTAAGCCCACCGCGAGATTGTTTGCAGAAAATAAGCAAAGATCGGATAATGGATTGGAAAGACGGGTTTGTGTGGCCGATAATTTGGGCTGGAGAGGGAATAAAAAAGAAACCCTCCATCCAGAAACACACCACCAGTCTGCATCCTCCATCCAAATCAATACGAATTAGATGTGCATAAGCAACGAGACGAACAGCTTGTGCTGCAAGCTGCAAGGATAATCTGCGATCGGCGCTTTAGGATGTGCAAAAGTTTCAGGTAGGGATTCTGAGGTCACCAACTTTTGCTTCTTTCACAGTGCTCTAGGAGCTATAGTGCCCACTTGACACAGCTCAGCGTGTTGTTTTTTTTTTTACGTAGATGCTATTGTTAAAGAGGCAAAAGTAGATTCCAGAGTTTTCCAGCAGCCTTCCAGGACATATGGTGCTGGTTAGAAGGATTAAGCTCTTGTGGAGCAACAAGGAGGAGGAGGAGGAAGAGGGGAAGGGGGGGAGGAGGTGGAAAGAAGAAGAAGAAAAGGAAATATTTTCAGGACTCAGTTCAAAATCATCAGTGCCATAAAGTCTCTCTGGGGTAAATTAAGGGGGTCTTTGTCTGTAAAGGTGGCTTGTACACAGTTTTCATTTTGATTTTACCCCAGAAAAGATTAAATACGTTCCATCCATAACTAGAAAAAAAAACCTGCATCTGCTTTTTGGTGTTATTTTCAATTATGCTGTGGATGTTCGTTGATCCACTTTTACATCCTCTTTATTCCAAAGCCACACAAAATGTACCAGTGAGTCACCTTGGACATTTAGAAAAAAAAAAAAGCACAACAGGCATGCATGTAGGGACGTAATTTTCTTAATATGCCTCCATAATGAGGACATACCTATAATATTTTGGTGTCCTTGACTCAGCTTTCCTTTAATGTGGAGCCAAACATGAGGAGCAAAGATGTGAGCGAATGGCTTCGGACATGCTCTGTGGAATCAAGCAATGTTGTGGCAAATGTCGAATAAACCATTTTTGTGGGACCAATCTGTTTGTTCTTAAAGGAAAATTCTTTTTTTTCTCTCTCTCCCTCTCTCTCTTTACAGCCTTGGGTCTCATTATTATATGGTTTTCGAGGGTACAGTTACAGACAGGGCCACGGCCAGGATCGTAGAACTGCTGAGGTCACGAGGTCATGTTTACATGCTCAGGGACTGCACATGGACCGTAGCCAGTAGCTACATCTAGCACAAAGCTTTTCTTTTTGTCCAGCTGCATAAAATGTAAATGAAAGTCCAGATTTATCTCAAAAGACTTCTTTGAATACATTGAATTCTGTACATCTTTCTGGAAATTTGACCTTTGTATATTTTGGTTTGCTTATATATTGTAAGGCGCCCCCACGAGGAACGTGATTCTGGTGGAGAATAAAACTACATTTTTGTATATGACGTTTCCTACCTGATTAGCATACATGATAGATGTCCTGATCCAATCTCAAAGATCTGGATCGGAGTTGATCAAGTCGCTTTTTAACTAATTGAATCAGCACAAGTCAAGATTAACTTTTGTTAACGTCGTAAAACCAGATGTTGGGTGCAAATTTTTAACAGTTTTCTTTGTAACTGTAGCGCTGTCCATCAATAATAGAGTAATTAATAGCACAAATTCAGCACTGTCGACACTTGTGCTGTGCTAACATCATGCTTTCACGAACATCCACTGGGATATAAGCAGTCCTGGTCAATCCCAGCTTGTCTTGAACATATGAGTTCTAGCTACAGGTCATTAAGTATCACCGAAGACGTTGTCATGGTGCTCCTTTACTAGCTAAACCCCAACTACGCTCTTTACTCGCCAACTTGAACCCGCTCATAGCCAGAGTGACCGCCTCCTCCGCTTACTACAAACGGCGCAAGGCTCCACCTGGTGGCGCAACCAAGTACTGCAGCTAATCTACAGCACTTGAAGTGTGTGTAAACGGTAAAAAACAACAACTTGATCATCGTCTAAATTTATCAAAGCCAATTAAAAGTGCAAAAGTGGTGTCCTCTGAATGTGATTTAACATTTCAGTTTCCTCCGAGTGTACATAGAACTGCTCTGTGAGTCCCTAGTGTTCTCTAAAGGCCATGACTGTACAGTAGATTAGCATAATATTGTCCTCACCACAGCATCATCATAGATAAAAATGCTCCTCTGGAAGGTGGAGTGTAATGAGACCCAAAGGAATAGAAGCTCCCAATTCCCCGTAAACAGTCTAATCTTAACCCATTTCCTAAGAAGTAGTTATTTAAAGGCAAGAATAAAGGTGGAAACTAACCTCATAATTTATTATAACTGTCTTTTGCCTCATGGAGCTGTTTCTTTTTGGCCGCCTCGGTGACTTGTGCCAGATTCTTGCCAGCTGCTTTTTGTTTATAGTTTTAGAAGCAGCAAAGCTCGTGTAATTGAAAAGTCTTATAAAATTAAAAGCCATGTACACAGTTTAAATAAAGCACACATGTCCACGGTGGTGACGGTGAGCACGGTGTTATGCTAACCTACACCTACATCGCCCCAACTTAAGACAATAAAACTTCAGGTTGTCAAAACAATAACGTTCCCTTAAACTTGAAAGCACCGTAATTTAGTGTCAACAGTATAAATTTCCAAAACTTATCTTGTAAGAGAAACAAAAGCTTTGTACGGAAGCTCCTAACCTGCACCCTAAAGCTGCAGCGTGGGGCTTTTCTGTGCTTTGATCAGCCAGAAAATATTATTCCTGCCCACTCTGGAAGTCCTTCAGCTGCTGAGGGTTCAAGCGCCGAGTGTGGGAACTGACCTGGCACTCGCCTCATTGTTTGTCATTTCCAAGTCATAAATAAAAGCACCAAACGTTCAGGGCCTTTGTATTGGTGCTCGGATGCTGGACTTGAATAGTCATCCTGTTGATACTGCACATTTGTGGATTTTCCCCCCCATTATGAATGTTAAATGAGCCACTCGAGGTGCAATACGCTGAGCATGTGCTGTCATGATGAATGCCTTCAGTTGAAAGAATTATGCTTTTTCATGCAGATGTTTGGATTATTCTCAGTTTTAATCTTCTTGCAATGTTGGGGCCCAAAGTTGAGAAGAAAAGAGCCAGGACTTCCTCAAGGGTGCTTGACTTTCTGAGAAATCTCCTTTTCAGCCAGTAGCTCCTGAGTGCTCTCAGATGTAGCCAAGCTAATTAGCGCTGAGGCGAGTGGCACATGCTCTCACATACCTAGTGGGTCATAAAGATGTTTACCAAACCCTACTGAGGATAGCTAACAAAGGCTTTTAAAGGCAAGCGGGAGGAAAACCTTTTTCTTGGTTGGCCGGGATAATGAAAGTTGTTCATTGAGGTTTTTTGTTATAAGCGCGGGTGGAATGCACTATAAATGAGCTGCAACTGTGTGGGCCATTTCTGCAAATGTGAGAACTTGCTGCAACAGGGATTTTAACGGGGCTAATTTCTGAAATATGGAAATCGAGAATGGGAAAGTTTAGAGTTACTTGGTGATGTTTCACCAACAAAAATGAAACAAAGGTTTATGAAATGATCCAACAAATGGCTTATTCCCAGGAAACTGATCGTTAAGTCATAAGTTGGCCGTCACCAAACGGGCTCTTCTTCCTCTCAGAGATTTGCATCGACAGACTTTTTAACCTGAATTGGCTACTTTTTAATTCAGGCACACAAAACCTTTATCTTTAGTTTTTCCAGTTTTACTGCATCAACACGAATAAAGCTAGAAGAGTTGCTCATGTCGAGGGCTCGCGGGGTGTAAGGTCCACCTGGCCTCCACTCAAGTGCAAGTGAAGAGCCAAATGGCAGCATTTACTGTAGGTCCTGGGCCCGAAGTGAGGAAAAAAGCTGGCCAACATGAAGTGTCATGACAGCCAAGCGTAAAGGTGTTGATGAACTGCTGTGGCACTGCAATAGCTCAGAGTCTTGTTTTAGCAACATGGAGGGAACCAACTTCCAGCCTGGTTTCTCGTTTTCTTCCTGCTAGCGGAGCAGGTTGAGGATCCAGCATGTCGTCCAGTTTTACTGAACGGCAAGTTGAAAGTGAAAACTGTCCTCCCAGACTCATACATCACTGATTTAAATCTCAGTCAGAGATGTGGCGCCTTTTTCGCCCTGGCTAACTTATTAGACTCGTACGGCTTTCCAAATATCGGCCCATTTAGGTAATGAACCTCCCTATGTGTTGGACTGCAGACTCAGAGAGCAGCGCTGCCAAACAAGACAAGTTTTTACAGTCGCTAAAACGAGTAAAGACAGAGATCAACATAAAAGATAAAAAAAAAAACATAAAAGCTTTTGTTATTCATGGTCTCATTAGAGATTCATGTTTATGGCGCAGTTCAGTGGAGAGAAGGCACAGAGTGAGTGGATTTTCGTTCCTCGCTGGAGAATAAAACAAGGGATTGATTGTGATTCGGTTCTGCCTGAAGGGTGTGTGCTCACTGCATGAAATCCTACCACGGGCTCTGCCAGTCTCTCTGCTGTGACCGTGTTGGCTGCGGGAATCATATTATTTCATCTGACATGGACTCTTTTTGTTCTTGTTTCTCCTCCACTCAATCTCTCCATGTCTCTTTTCTCATTTATAGGGACCTGAGGGGCCACAAGGGCTAAAGGTGAGTTACAGAAAACCATTCTTTGCTGCGTTGACATTTCTTAAATTGAATAAAGTGAAGATTCTCTGAGTTAGTTATCATCTGAACAACATACAAATATGTTTTTAATTACCTAAACCGACCGCTGATGTCTTTAACGTTGCAATGATGTTGTAAAAAAAAGGGTGTTAAATATGTTGACCTTAGAAATTAGAGCTAGAGAGCCGCAGTCAGGCCGAGTAAACATGAGGAAGGAAAGAAAAAAAAGAGCGACGGAGCAGGAGGGAGACGGAGAACAGAGAACCTGGAGCTGAGCGCTGCGATGCAGGCTGCTGGGTCCCTGGCGGCGCTGATGTGGGGAACAGATGTAAGCCATATCCAGCCATCAGGTAGCTGCCAGTGTTTGTTCAGTGTAACCCAATCAGACACTTCCTGTCTGCGCTGTCATCTGTCGGCAAGGCCTCCCGTCGGCGTGGGAGGAGGGGGTCAATGATGACACACCGCCGTGTTAATGACTCATAAGCCAGGCCCCGAGGCTACTCAATTAGATCTGCAGAGGGGCCGCGACAGGAGTTGTTCAAGTTTCATCACCTTGGTGACTGATTTGGTATCATTTTCAGTTATTGTCGGTGCGTTACGTAAGACCCCGACAACAAACAGATAAACAGAAGGAGACTTTTTTTTTTTTTTACCGCAACTGCTGTCCCACCCATCCGTAATACGTCTATAAATGCAGCCATGGTAACAGTGCGTCACTTTTATTATGAAAGCATACAAATAGCCAACATAAGCAAACCACTAAGAAGAGAGTGGGAGTCCATTAGGACGGTTAAGGATGTCAGTCTGGTGGAGAATGACAGTACATTTTGGTTTACGTAGCTGTCCGTCTGAACTCAGAAACCATTTTCTCATTTCACTAGTAACTGCAGCCGTTATCTTTAATAATAGTGTAGTAATAATAAAGTCATTGATTCTCTGACATACGGATATACGAGGTGTGTCAGAAAGGTTCCAGGACTGGTGTCACAAAAGAAATGTTTCAAACTACAAACTACGAGTTTTCCCCTTCGGATGATCAACCAGCACATCTACAAAGAGATCCGTTTGGTTCGCGAGGGTTGTGACAGGACGAGTTGTGGCTGCTTCAGCATGACAACACTCAAAAGGCCCTGAGCATCCGACAGTTCCTGGCTGAGAAGAACAACCTCCCTGCTCTCCCCACCTGGCTCCGTGGGATCATTTCCTCTTCCCCAAGCTCAAGGTGGTCATCAAGTGGACCCGCTTAGAAGACGTTAAGATGGCTGCGACGACGTAGGATCCTGGATGAATCCTTCCAGGAGTGCGTGGCGGCGTAAAGAGAAGGCTGGGAAAGAGAGTCCAAGGGGATTACTGCGAAGGGAAAAGGTTGTAGTTTGGGGATGGAATTTAAATTTTGTGACACCAGTCCTGAAACCTTCCTGACGCACCTCGTAAGTCGTCCTAGTCGATCGTGGCTTGTCTTAAATGCATGAGCTCCAGCTGAAGGTCATCAAGCATCACAGAAGTCTTTGTCATGGTGGGCTTCCTACTAGCTAAACTCTCACAACGCTCTTTGTTGCCAACATGGATTCGCCCATATATATGCAAGACTCCACCTGGTGGCGCAACCAGGTACTGCAGCTAATTTATGACACTTACAGCAAGCATGTCTTATCTAGAAAACACACCGCTGTGTTCATGACTCATAATCCAGGCATCAAGTTATTCAAGTTTCATCACCTTGGTGACTGATTTTATTGTCATTTTCAGTAATTGTGCATTACATAAGACAGCAAACGGATGCACAAAAAGAGACGTTTTCACTGCGACTCCTGTTCCACCCATGTCTAATGCGTCTTTAAATGCGGCCATGGTAACAGTGCGTCACTTTTATTATGAAAGCATGAAAACAGCCAACATAAGCAAAGCACTAAGAAGAGAGTGGGAGTCCATTAAGATGTGCTCGGTGTCCTCAGAGTGTAAATTGTCTTTCAGTGAGTTAAAGCACAAAGCAAAACACAAGAGCCACACATTGAAACCGGCTGCCTGGTATGGAGTAGATCCCCTTTGTGATATCAAAAATGGACACAGGACCTCTGGAGGTGTCTTGTGGTGTCTGGTGTCAAGATGTTTGGAATTAGTTGTGCATAGACGTGTGATCGGATTAGGATGTGGGGAGTTTGGAGGCCGAGTCGAGGCTCTTGGTCGTGTTCCTCGAGCAGCTCCCGAGCAGTATTTTGCTGTTGTCCTGTCTGGAAAGTTAATTCAATTCAATTCAATTCAATTTTATTTGTATAGCGCATATTTACAACAACAAGTCATCTCATAGCGCTTCACAAAGGCAGAAACAGAAACACCCAACAATCCAAAACATCTGGATTCCCTATAAGCTTCAGCAGTCCGTTAATGCCACCAAGGGTCTGCAGTAATGTGTACATGGGTGTCAAGGCATAAAGTCAGCTTCTTTTTTTAAAGAAAACAACACGGCTTGGTTCAACATTACACGTCTCTCAGCATCTGATGGTTTGTGAATGCTGTGACAAACGTAACATCTCATCTGGTCAGGATTTAAATGCAGTAAATATAATAAAACAGTGTCCACGCAGCGTTTCGGTTTCTCTTCCATCAGCCTGAAGCTCAGCAGAACTGCCTTCAGCTCCCACCCTCGCCGTCGGCCCGCATTATCCATATATTGTCCATAACGTGGCAGATATTGAATTGTGACATGAAGTATTTAGTCTGGCCTGGTGTCGTAACATCAGCACAGACTGTGTGAAGCAGTGGAGATGTTAACAATAGACAGATGAGCTCAGGAACACTTCTGTTTAATGTCAAGTCTGTTTGGTTCTGGCCTTGGGAACTTCTGACTCTGCTGTTGCTTTGATTCTGACTGTTCTTGTCTGTTTCGAGTACATTGGAGTATATATTGCTTCAAAGTTTTTGGTTTGTTTCAATAATCGTGTCCATTATTTTTTATTTCCCAGGGCTCACTTGGCCCTCCTGGCATCCCAGGTGTTGACGGACTGAAGGTAAGATAATACAATTAAATGATCGTGGTACAATTTCCAGCTATACGGAAGTCAAAAATGCAGAATTATCTTGAATAATACATCGTTTATTTACATTTAGCGTCTTTCTTTTACAGTTAAACAGCAGGATTTGTTGCAGGCAATGTTGCGCCGCTTCATTTTTTTTTATTAAAATACAGTTTTCAAAACTCAAGCAGCTGTTTATTTTTTCCAAATGGATATTTTAAACTACATAATGCTCCGTGTTTTCCCCCCTCGAACACTTTATCCCATCCAAATTTTGCCAGAACACGTGTGACTCTTCAGAAAAAGTTCAGAAAGCTCATTTCCATCTCACCACTGATAGCACGTTTTTATCTCGCAACAGGCTCCAACACAATATTACTTTTCATTAATCTCTGCCTGGCCGCGTGTTGCACTTCTTCACATTAGAAAAGTTCTGACGATTTCAAACCGCTATTCTATTCTGGAGAATACCCCCGGGCTGCATCGTCGAGTCTCGACCGCAAAAAACTTACCGCCGCCTGCGATTCCGTTCACACACTCGTTTCTGCTTTTCATTCTCAAACTGAATAAAGGAGCCGCGGCGCAGGTGTTTCACAATGGGGGGAAGGAGCGAAAAAAAAATGGAGACACGTATTTATTCCAGAACAAAAACGATGGCATAGGAGTGAACGGAGGGGGAGATGATTTGCGGCATCTTTCTAATCTCGAGCACGCATTCGTCGAGATATGAGAGGGGAGGCACGCATGGCTGTAATGGGAACCAGAGTGAAGAAGTTTCATTTTTGAGTGAAGGCCATGCAAACTTTGGATATAGCAAAAGCTGAAGGCTTAATTCCATACTTGTGAAAGGAGCGGCGTTTGCCAGCACCCATGAAATAGAACTCCAATGCTGTGCAATGCAGTTATAAAACAGAATCTGTTATGGTATGTAAGTCTCACTCATGCAGAAAGTTGAACTCTAAAGCGGTTAAAGCTGCTTGGCCCGGCCGAGGCAGGTTGACTGGCAGACATCGTATTGATCTGACATCGATATCCAACCGACGAAGGCGGCGATCGCTGACGCTGGACCCGATCAGCCAGAGTTGAGGAGTTTTTTAATCAGACTCCATCATCATTATGCAGCATCGTCGTCAATGACTCCCACATGTGGGCTGATAAACGATACGAGCGTTTATGAAGAGTTTCACCACTCGTGTGCAGCTCCAGGGATCCTCCCTGCGTGGATCATGTGTGCGGAGATTCCCACAAGACTTCATGCAAGCGAAGAATTGTGGGAAAACAATGCGAGGACGCAGAGAAAAACAAGAAATGTGCAGAGTGGTCAGCAGTGAGCTGCCCGCTGACATGTGTTTTAATTACAATAATCATAGCTTTACTTTCCATCCATTAATAAGCTTCATCTGGTTATAGTTGAGGAGGAGCTACTGCTCCTCTATAAGGCTAATGATGTGGTAGGGTTCGCAAAGGTCGCGAGGTTAATTGTTTCTGGCAACTGATGGACCGAGGTCGGCTTCGGAGAATTCAGACTAACAGCAAACTGGCATTCATCACATTGGACTTGGCTTTCTTCCTTTTCTTTTTTTTCTTTCTCCTCATGTACAGAACCAAACCAGAAATAATTAAGCTTTTAATCAGCTTGTTTATCCGTTCTGCTTTCAGATTCAGTTTTGCGGTTTTAATAATTCTACGCTTCTGAACTTTTTTTGGAATTTAAATGATATTTTTCCAGTTGTAGTCGCGCATTAACAAGTGCAGTCTGTTCTTTGTAACGCAGGAAAAATCCCTCCTGTCTGCTGCTCGGTTATCAACAACGAAAAAATGTTGAAACATCTGCCAGAAAAAAATATATTAAACATTGAAATGCCATCATGTTTGAAAACTGGAAAAATACAGTGAAAATAATGTGAAATATCTGTTAAATTATTATGTTTTTAAGCTGATTTTAATACAGGAAGACAGTTTTATTGTCACATTTTTGTAAAAATACTGATAATGTGGACTTTACTCATTATTTATCTGACAGCCAATGTATCAGGTAATATTTTTAGGTGTGATTTTAATAGATATTATCTGTAATTTAACCAAACAGGGAAAATCTGTAAAATGATAGTGAATTATTTATCAGTTTCTAATCCTTAATATAGGATTTTTTTGCACATATATGTGCAAGTAGCTTTAAAAAACAAACAAAAAAGATATTTTTGCAGATTTAAATAAAGTCAAAACTGTAATTTTATGGTCTGAAAAGTGAATTACAGATTTTTAAAGTGCACATTATGTCCAATTTTGGTCTTTTTTTTCTTTTTTTAATGGCTTTTTTCTGTCATTTAACAAAATGGGTAAAATCTGTAAAAGAAAATTCAATTGTTTTAAAAAATTCCAGGTAAAAGCTGCTTTAAAGCGGTTCAGATTTTTTTTTTTTTTACAGTGTATCCTGCAAATGCATAACACCTGTGCACCATCCACACGAGCCTAACCTCTGGTCGGGTTAAAGGTTATCTGCATAATGTGTTTTTTGTATCTCCTGACCTGAAATTTTAGTTCAAACTGCCGGAGCAGCACATTGAATTCAGCCACTGTGTGTTGTCTTTAGGGGGATGTTGGCATCCCAGGACTGGACGGTGTCCCGGGAGTGAAGGTCTGGCGCACACGTCTTCCGTGTGCTCTTACTTTTGTAAATTCATGACCATCACCTTTTCATTTTTGTACCAAGAAAACCTGCCCCTTTTTAATCTCTTTCCAAACCTTTTACAGCCATCTTATTTTTTGACCATCAACCTTTTTTTTCCCCTCATTTGTTTACATGTATTTTTCATCAATGTGTGCAAATTAAATGTAACGTCACACTGAAATGATAATTCAATGACAGTTCTTGTAAAAACACCTCAGAACGCTGACTCTCTGGGGTCTGTCTGGGGAGCAAAAGCAGCCATAACACAAGAGAATTCCTATAATCTAACATGAATTTAACCCCAGATACTATCTGACCCTGAGCCCAGCCCAGCTCTCCCCCCTCAGCTTTTCTGCGTTTAATACTCTGCTTTCTTTCCCAACAGGGCGAAATGGGAGAACGAGGTGAAAAGGTAAAGCCCTAATTCACATCTCCAAACATTATTCTTAGTCTGATATCCCGCCATGTGTTGGAACAGGCGGCAGCGCTGCCTTTACAACTTTTTTTTTTTTTTCCTCAAAGGTGACTCCCATCAGTGAGTCAGTGATTCATTAAAAACTGCGCCGAGCTTCTCCCAAAAAAACAATAACCTCACGGAGGCACGGCAGCTTTATTCTGCCGGCGTTGGGCAGCAGCGGGTGGGAGGTGTGAACGCCGGCCGAAGCGTCCTGGGGAGGGAAGCGATGACTCAGCGCGCTTCATCGACCACAAAACTGGCCTTGGGGCGGTTGTTCTCAGCGCTGAGTCAAATCAGAGGCTTATTCTTTATCACCGCCATACCTGGTTTCGCTGCAATAATGTGGCTGCGTGGAAACAATCTCCTAGCAACCGCCGCTCACCAGCATCACGGGTATCCTGTGGAGAATTAGCTGGATGGAAACAAGCGTACGGTTTTAGAAACCGCAGCTGGGAGGAGAAAGTTCGAAGCACAACTCGGCGGTCTGAGGAGGTAGATTGGTTTCCAGGGTTGGGGGTTAAGATGGTTTAAAACAAAGCTCCTTGTTTTAACAGAGATGCTCCTTCGATGGGTGGTTTTGTTGGGTTTTAGCTGCGAAAAAGGGAAAATTACACTCGAGAGAAGTTTGATAAAACAAACTATTTGCGCCGCTGATGTGTTTAAATTTCCCATCCTGTTAATCATCGACTCCGAGTTGTGATATTACGAGAATTTTGTGAACATGAAGTGCAGCGTCTGGCTTTGCTCGTTACCTAAAGAGCCAGCGAGCGAGTTCAGGAGAGCAAGCTGTCTTTACGCAACAGATAAATTCATGGATGGAAAAATAAACAGCGATGTCAAGCGCGGAGACTGTTACAGTAATCTCATTCGCTTGAAGTTCTCGTTTTAATGCTCTCCATGAGGACACAACCTTTTGATTTCATATCCTTGGAACCGCCGCCGGTTGTATGATTCGCAAGCTAATCGCAATAAAAAATCATGTGGATTTATTAAAACTGAAATGATCTGTTCCCTGCCAGACGGTACTAAAACCGGGCCCAAAGTACTGCGAGTTTACTCGAGAGCCAGGCATGTTAACATAATCTGTTGCGCTTGGCTTCGGCTGGTGACTAATTAGCCAGCAGGCGAATTCAAGAAAACAACGTTAGCCTCTGACGCTTATAAACACAAAGCCTCTTACCATTGGCACAAGCCTCCTGGAAAACACCACCAAGAGTTTTAAATTTGTGGATTTCCCATTAACCTTCAAATTAGTAACATATTTCGCTGTAATGATAGAAAATAAACTGGATTTATAGCAGTGCAATGATGTGAAGAGTCTACAGCCACTGGGAAGCAGCTGTGAACTCGGTACCAACCGACAGGCTGATGCTAAGCAGGTGGAACGCCAAAGTAGTTTAGCACGTTAGCATGCTAGCAATGCTAATCAGTAGCGTGGTGGTTCCATATTTAATCGTTTAATTTTTACAACAGTTTCTGCTCAATCATCTCTGATTTACTTTGAATTTTTATAGCATAAAATATGAATATTTTTTTTTAAATTTTAGGTTAATTTAATTCTGTGATACAACTGAAGTCATACCTGTTCAATCAGTTATGAAAGTTCATCGAAAATAACTTTTCCCCCATTTTATCACCAAGTATTTCACATTTAAAAGCACTGTTATATGTTTTATTTGGTATTATTCTGACACTCAGCTACATATGCTTCAGAAAACATCACTAGTTAACTTCTGCATTGTCAGTTTTTTTCTTAATTTGAGCTCAAAGATGGAATTTTTAAGGACGGCTTCAATTTTGTTTCATATTTAAACTCATCCATAATCACAGAACATTTGTCCAATATCTTTTTAATCTGAAACAAGAGCAGCATGAGTGTCTTTCAGCAATTTATCTACTCACTGTTACATTCACAGAATCTGGAAATATCTATATTTTTGGCATCTTCTTCTTCTTACATGCACTTCTTATTTATATACTGAACCTGTGCACATGTTTAATTAAAACTGCATCTTTTATGTACTTTTTTGCACAACTTTAAGCCATTAAATTTACATAAATGTTGAGTATCGTGCAATATCCAGAGTTGCAACACCATTTTTTTTTTTTACAGTATTTTTATATTTCTACATTTTTTACTGTACATTTTTTAAAAGACTGTTGTGCTGACAGGATTGCTGCTTATCCTTATGCAATGAAAACAAAGGAAGTCTATTATATTCTATTATTCTGTGAGAAATAACTGTGAAAATGTCAGGCTTTTATCTCTAATAGTTCCTGAGACACTGTCGCTCAAACGTAGCCTCGAATTTCAACGTGCAGAAAACAAAAAAAAAAGTGCTGAAAGTGAGTTTAAAAAATAGATAAGTGTTGGAAATAATTGACGTATCCATAGTGTGTGATTAAAAGCAAGTCTGAAGGGAGTCAGAGAAGGTCGAGCAGAAGGCCGCTCGAGGTGAAATAACCCAACGGTCGCCCCGAAAAGTCAGCGAGATGAAGATCGTTCAGAAGCATCACTGTTGGTACCGAACCTCTTGTCCGCCCCGTCCAATATCCGCTGAGATATTTCATTCTGGAGCAAAAAGAAGGGAGAACAATCGCTCAGACGCCCACATTTCATCTATTTCAGAAGTCATTCACATGCGGCGAGTCGAGGATCTCCGCCGAGCGCCTTACGTCACCTGAAATCGGGTCGTATTCGAACCACATGTGACGACTCAGTGAGCGGAGCGAAGATGAAGTACCAGCGCTGTACACGCTAACGGTACTTCATCTTCGCTGTAATGCACTTGGCTGTTTCCGCCATATTTTAGATGGCAGTCAATCACGAGAAGAAAAGAGTCCTACCGGGTGCTGCGCCTGTTTAAGCAATCAGCCAATTATGTTTCAGCTCCTCAGGTACGGCTTTGTAATACGATTACATGTGATTTCATTCCAGGGCGATATGGGCGAAGAAGGACCGAAAGGTGATCTGGGAGAGAAGGTATGTGCCTCGCTCTTTTTTTTTTTTTGTTTATGTCTTGGAACACTCTCAGAGAAGCGGCGGGGAGTCCAGCTGAAAACACTGAAAACGTGAGAGGAGAGCAGCGGACGAGGTCAAGTGCCATCAGCTGTAGCCGAAGCCAAAGCTGCACAATCATCCTGGCACTTGATGTGTCCTTTCGTATTTAATGTGGACTTAATTGCTATGCTACGCTGACGCTACATTTTCTGGTTGGATGGCTCCCGCATTAATTTGGAGACCATTTATCATCAAGACAGCTTGTCAAGTTGAGATCCATTTCGAACAAAAGGCAGAGCGGAGCTGCGCCGGACAGATTGTTCGGAGCTCAACTAATAGATTCATGTTTCTGTCCAAAAAGCTTTTGTTTTCGGGAAAACTTTTTTTTTTCTTCTATTAGTTCTCTGACATCATGTCCAGCGGGCTGATCATGCATCCTCTCCTAAACTCGCCACGCCGCCTTCGCTGTTATTATTTTGTTAAAGCAGCTTTTAGGAAAATGGCCTTATGTGGGTGACCTCATGACAACAAACCTGTTGTAAAGCAGAAATCAATTTCTTACACTTCTGGGAAAAGAGGGAGAGTTTTTTTTTTCCCGAAAATTGCCCAAAAATGTCTTCTGAGAACAGCTGACACAGTCGTATTAGAGGCATTAAACACATCTCAGGTGCTTTGAGCAACAAGAAAGCTGCCTCTTTTAGCTAGAAATACAGAGTTAGGTATAAAAACAAAGTGTAACTGATAGACCAGGAGCGCAGCAGAGTGCAGTGTACTCAAAATGTCACTGCCAATTTATTGCTGCTCAGCGCAGAACAACTTTGATAACTTCTCACTTTATGGGTAGCGGGGTTTTTTTTTTTTTTTTTTGCCGAACTTGGCAGCCGAGAAAGACACCATTGGAGGGAAGCAGATGCAGGATATCATCTGTGGAAAATGAGCGAACAAAGAAGGAAAGAGGAGGGCGATAAAACTTTGCAGCTCGAGCAGCGCTTTGATCTCGTCTACCTCGCTGCAATAAAAGGAGAAAAAGTGATTTTTTTTCTTCTTCTTGCTGCGGGAGTGAAAAAAAAAAAGAATTAAATACGGAAAAGGCTTCTGCAAAGCAGTCACCTGCCGTTCATTCCTCAAGTGCACAGTCATGCATTTTGCAGTTAAAAGGGGCAAGAAGTTGAAATGGATTGTCATTAGTGTGGATGGGATTACCTCATCTGAGATCGTCAAGAAGTGTTTGTTTAACGTAGAGCGCAACATATGGAGGGAATAACTCCAATCAAGATGAGTTTAACAGACTCACAGAGGATTGATTGATTTTCAGTGCAGAAAACGAAGCCCGTCAGAGGTTTTCGCGTCTGATCAATTGCTCCTTATTGTTGTTTCTCTGGTGGAGGAAGAAACCGGAGAATACATGGGGATGGGAGGAGGAGGAGGAGGAGGAGGAGGAGGAGGACGGGCATCCTCGGCGTGGAGATGCCAAAGTTAACAATACACAGCACGCACTGCGGGGAAAATGTGGTAACACGAGGTGAGAGGTGAAGCAGTGAAAGCTTCGGTATGGTGAGCACAGAGACCTCAGGGAGAGCTGAAGGAGGGGAGAGAAATGGCAGAGTAAGCAGTGGGGCTGTGCTTTGCATGATACAAAGGCAGATTGTTATGACGGCGGAGTGTGAAAGAGGCTAAATGACGAGACAGAGATGTGCAATCTCACACTTAGAAACAAAGTCGTACATTTTCTACGTCCTAACGTCTGAGCTGTCGCATGTCGGATCATGAGGCACAAAAATATGATAAGTTATGTGGATTTATAGTCTGTGGTTAGCGGTTACTTGTGTTGTTCTACAGTCTAGAGGAACTCATCTGAATTCAAGATCTACCAGAGCTCGGCACTCATTACATTATTGCTTTATTAATATTACTAACTGATACCGATGTAGTCAGTCAAGACATTTTAACTACAATGTCGAGCCCCGAGCAGCCCAACAATCTTCCACCCTCACTGTTTTATATTGGTTGGATGTACTTATTGCTAAACCGAATAGTCCAGTTTTATTTATATATAGCGCCAGTTCATGGCATGTTTCATCTCAAGGCACTTCACGCAGTAAGGTGAACCCAAAACCTCCGGCTCAGGGAGGCCAGACATCTGCCTCGACCGGTTGGGTTGAGGGTAAAGGGGAGAGAGAAGAGTATAGCAGAGAGAAAGCTGACAAAGGATGCATAGGAGAATGTAAAACACTGGGGAGGTTGGTGAGGCCAGGTCAAGATTAAAGTTTATACAGTAAATATGTTGCTAGAACCTGCAGCAAGTTAGCTTAGCTTAAAGCATGCTAGCTTGGCTATAAGCAACGAAACCTATCCGACCGTAACGTCTTAAGCTGTCCTGTTAATACGCTTTATCTAAACTTGTCTAAAGTATGCAAAAAACTAAACGTGAAAATTACAATTAGGGTCTTGAACAGGTTTTTTTTTGCCTCTGATATGATCTGAGTCATTTAATATTTAGCATCCGCCGATACAGAGTCCCACATTTACTGAGATAACACAAAGTTTTTGTACATTAAAGCTACTAAACTGAAAATGTCTGCAATGCATTAGAAAAAAAATGCATTTCTGTATCTAATACTACAACATGCTGCTTGTTATTAAGCTCCTGTAGGGCGCTGTGAGGAGGAAAACCTGTTTTCTCTACATGCATGTCAGAAAATCCAACTAGCTGTAGTACCTGGTTGCGCCACCAGGTGGAGCTTCTTGCTGTTTAGTACTATAGGAAGCTGAGGAGGACTGTGGCAATTCTGTGTTTGCAAGCAGAGAGCATTGAGGAGATTTAGCTATTAATGAGCACCATGACAGACTTTAGTGATACTTAATGACCTCCAGTCAGAGCTCATGTGATGGAGAAGAGTCGAGATCAACTAGAACAGTGTTCCTATTCCTCTCAGGCCCAAATCATGTGACGGTTGATGAAAAACAATAACAGCACAGGATTAATGTTCACAGTGCTGTGGTTGTGTTATCAATTAACTAGTTATTAATCGACAACGTTGCAGGTTATTGAATTAGAAAACCATTTGTCACACCTGAGCGACAGCAGAGATAAACAAATGATCAGATGTAGGTTCTTGCCATTTATTTGTTAAAAAAAAAATGCCTGAACTCAAAGATCGGGACATTCCTCATTAAAATTAGTTGTTTCTTGGGGGCTAAGTGTTCAACCAGTGACACTTTCTAAAAAAATCATGTTTCAGATGTACACCCATCAAGTGTGAAGTCACATTAAACACCTGCAGTGGAGTTTGTAAAGTACAACATGCCCTGTTACAGGTCTATGTTGTATTTAAGGATAGTATTTGGCACTTACTTTCCACCTGAGGTTTATAGTATGCATTTATGTAACGCATTACCTGCTGCGTTGCTTTCATAAGCCATCATCAGCTGCAGAGAGAAATGTTTCTAACAGCCTCTGCATGTCCATCTCTGGCCTCATTTAAAACAAATCATTACTGCAGTTAAAAGCTTTAGTTCTAAACCATTTACTCCTGATGCATTCTGCCTAAGTATTTAACTAGGTGTGAAATTAACTGGGACTCTTCTTGTTGAAAGAGCTGAACCTTGCAGATAGGAAAATTGTTTAAAGGTTTTTAAAAAAAACAACCCGAGCAAACTCTTGATTTGGCTTTGGGAAGTTCCAAGCTATGAGTGCTTGGCTCCGGCCGGTGTGGCACAGTGGTTGGTATAATTTTTGAATCCTAAGATCCGGTCCAAGCTCTTGTGAACTGGCCACATTTCAACTGCTGGCAGGGGCCTTTCTGCCCCGGGAGCCAGTCATAATTTGTGTTGCCTCGCTGAGGTCGATATTGAGCCGAGGCCTGCTGAATTTGGTCATCTCCGCTAATGGCCGTAATGTGGAGCGGAGTCGTGTTTTGAAGGCATTAAACGGCGACATTTGTCACAACCCTGCCACGGTTTCGTCGCCCGCTGATTAATTCTCTCCATCTCGTTCGCACATCTCCGTCGCCCCGGCAAACAGCTGGAAAATGGACGGATTTACCAAGCGTACATTATGAGACCTTCATGCTATTATCTTTAAATGCCAGTATGCAGCAACAGGCCCGGGTGCCTGTAATGAAGTGGGGTTGTGGTGACAGCTCTCCGTCTCACTCCGCTCTGTGGTTAAATCAGGCTGTAGTCTCACCACGATAATTGGCCCAGTTGGGACGTTTCGACGTTCGGTGCCGCTCCTCAGCACACCTCCCAACTCCACCGCTTTTTTCCATCTCGTACGTCCACATTTGGAAGAGATTAAGCTAAAAACTGCTTCTTGTCACTCGCGTGAGATCCGTGGTGCGGGTGAGATTTTCACTTCAGCAGCGGAGCGAGCGAAGCGTTAATTGCATGTGTAGCATCCTCCCCGTACTTGTTTTGCTAATCGCTAATTTTTTTTTAGATTGAAACTGTGTGAACTGGGGTGTAAATTAGCATTTTTCACAATATTAGCTCCCGCTCCCGCTGCGATTCAGAATGGGAAAATGTTCATCGCGCTCACGTATAGGCTCGATTATGAGCTTAACAAGGTGAGATCTTTTTGTGGGTTCGTTTTTTGTGCGAGATGCAACAATCGAGCGCAGATGTGAGGCGTTCTCGCGCTGCCAACAACGCAACAGGTGTAAACCAGCTCCCACTTTGATGTTTGCTTTGCTGGGTCTGATGTTTTACTAAAATTTGTAGGTCGACCGCAAAATGACATCCGTGTTTGTTTAAGCATCTGGCCGTCGTGTGAAATCTTTCGCAAATTGGAATGCGAGGAGCCTGTTTCTGCAGCTAACTGTAAAAGTTCATCCACTCAGATCTCACAGCCTCAATAAAATATAAAAGAACTTGTGAAAATGCCCGTATAAAAAAAAAAAAAGAATTGGAACGATAAGTTTTAAGATAGAGGCACCCTCGAGTGTGCACCGAAGCCCAGCTGTAAACAGTAACGCAGTTTATTGTCTGCAAAAAAATGCCGCAATTAAACATTGCCTTGTGTGCTATGTATCATAATGACTCCCATAAAAAGCTGAGGGCGAGAGGCATTCCTGCAGCAACTTCTGAGCACGAGGCGTATGTGTAGCGAAACCACAGAGTCCACACCAGAGCTAAAGACCCGGCCTCCATCTCCCCGCTCCTCTTTCCCACCAACCGCCCATAATTAAACTTATTGGCCCCTTGTTTTATGTCTATTTTTACTGTACGCTGCAGCAGCGATGCAATGCATAGGCTGGATCTGGTTCTGCTGGAAAAGCAGCTCCTGGTTCGATGCTTTTACCTGAGGAGCTGCGACGAAAACAAGCTACAGCCGGTGCAGTATATCTATCAAACCCCTCACCTCCTGCGCTGCTGTGGATTTCTTCTTGGTATATAGTGTTAGATTTCACCTCTCATGTCATCACCATTACCCAGCTGCAGTCTGACAGTGTGAAAACAATGAAATGATTCCCAGCACTGTAGTTACAGAAAATGCAACTCTGGCGAGAAGGTACATTCAGAGGCGCTCGGAGTGGAAGACAATCTGCCTCCTAATTGGATTTCCACACAGTTTTATCCGGACAAACATGCAAAATGATGTTGTGCATTATTCAGTAAATAGGCTTCGGTAGTAAATAATCATTTTTTTTGTAATCGCGGTCGCATGGTAATGTTCGATAATGATTCTAATTTTTTGTTTTCTGCCTTTTTTTTTTTCCTCAGGGAGACGCCGGTTCTTCTGCAGCAGGCATCAAGGTGAGCGCTACGCTAATGCTAAAGGTCTTATTTCTTGGTTCTCGTTGGGAGTCGGACGCACCAGGTCTTTGTAAGTTCAAGATGAGATGTTAAATGTTGCACCAAATGAACTAACTTGTCGTTACACAAAGATTAGCTACCGCTTAAAGGAGTCGTATTGTGCAAAATCCAGCTTTTTATTGTTTTTGAGCATAATTAAGTGTTCCTAGAGTGTCTGCAGAGCCACAAAGTTGAGGAAAGAACATCGATTTGTTTCTTTTTTTTCACCGTAGATTAGAAATTGGCCTTTTTTTAGTCAAGTTGGTCCCCTTTGGTGATGTCACAACAGGATAAGCCACGCCCCCAGTTGGCTCCTCCCCCTCCTCTGAGCTCCTCTATGCCGCTCACTCCTCTTCTTCTTATTTTCTAGTTTGTTCATCCTCAATTTTATGAGAGAGGAGTCGAGGCAACAAGCATCAGTCACAATTAAATATGACGTGTGGTGCAACTGCATCGTCTGTCCATTGATTTGTTCCAGTCAACCGCCGCAGTTTATGATCTCTGTCGGATTTGATTTAATCGGCAACGCAGCACAATGTGACAAGAATGTAGGATGTCACACTTTCTTTATTATTTATTAACTGGTGTATGTTATATACACAGAATTGTCATTGAGGAAGCATTGAGGATGCACTTGAGATGCGTTTTAGCCATTAAAACATCCGTCATGGTGGCACGGAGGAGACGAGGAAGCTCAATGTAGTGAACAAAGTGGATGCAGAAGGAGGCGTGCCTGCAGCTCAGTTGGATTTAAAGCTTCTAGAACAGCCTGTTTGGAAAAGCGCTCAAACCTGGGAAGTTATAAGAATGAATGATCTGCATGGTGCAAGCTTTAAATACGCATTCTGGGAACTTGCATTAACTTGTTAGAAGAGGGTAGAATATGGGACTTAACTTTCAGGTGTTAGCTTAGCGAACCAAACCGACTCCACCACATTAGCTTCGTATGTAATATTTAGCTTTATTTATACAGCACCAACTCACAACATATGTCATCTCAAGGGTTACAAATTATACAGAGAGGCCCAACAAATCCAAAACTTCCTTTGGATTCCCTTTGAGCAGCACTTGTGGAGCACAGTGTGGAGAAAAAAACAGATCCAGATTTAGGAAGGGCAGCCGTCCACCTCGACCAGTGACAAGCTGACTAGTGAGATAAAAGAACGATAAACGCTTTGGAAGTCGTGGGGCCAGCGACTGCAGATCACAACCTGAGATACCTGCATCTATGCAGTGTAAAGGGGAATTATTTTTGTTTAAATTGGGGTAAACAACCAGAGAAAACAGAACCGACAACCAGTATAACTCTATACTCTGCAGTCGAGCCTAGATTCTGCAAAACCTAATCCAGTTAGCAGGTGAAAGCATGTCAACAATGGGTCAAATCTCCCTTTAATCATCAATTTAAAGAAGGATTGAACTCATAAAGTAGATGTTTTTGAGCTGGTGCACTCCTGAAGAGCAGCAGCTGAAGTGTTTTGCGTGTGTTTCAGGGTGAACCTGGAGAACCTGGACGAAGCGGACACAAGGTAATAACGCACTTACAACGCATGTAGCAGCCCTAATAGTGCGGCTTCAATCACACGGGCTGCTGTGTTCTGTTGAACAGGTTTTGCTGCTATTGATAGAAACAGAAAGCACTCGACAGGCCGCGGCTCGCTGAACATTTCTGTGTTTTTCAAGGCAAGTTTTACTGTAAAGTTGAATAGAACAGTTCAAACGTGGACCAGTGAGTCGATGCTGAAAGTGTAATCAGGACACATGGGCGGCCGACACTTCAACCTGACCTCCGGTACATCACAGCGCTCACCTCGTTTTACATTTACTTTGGCCTGATGCTTGTTTTGAGCCAGTGTGAGGTCTCAGGTATCACACCAGCACCTCTGAACACACTAAACCTCTTCATTGTTTTTACTGTATTTCAGGTCAACTCATGAGTCGGTGCAGCTAAACAAGTTTGTTGGTTTCAGTTAGAAAAAAATGACAAATCAGGAGCGTGTTGCAGAAGAAACTGACGAGAAGCTAATAAATGCAGCAGAAAAGGAGCTAAAATAACAACTTTGACCATCTAATTAGACTTTTAATGCACCCCATTAATCCCCGCCTCTGTTTCTCTGTTTGGATAAACCAGTTGCAGACAGACAGAAAGGCTTTTTTTTTTTTTTCTGCTGCACTGCAACACTAATTTTTTAACTTTGCTTCATCTTATCTTCCATTTTGCACATCCTGCTTGTGCTGACTCACTTCTCATCGAGTTGTTCAAGCAACAAGCAAGACTCCAGCATGCTAGATGGAACTTTACATCCCCCCTGAGTGCCATTACAGTTAGTCGTCCTCGTGCGGCACTAATCATTTCTTTCAGCGTCAAATTGTCCCAATTTTTTTGTTTTCGAAAGCTTGACCCCTGTTGCTTTCTCCACGGTTGAATCAAATGTTGGTTCCCGACTCGACGACGACCCGACCTCGGCGACGGAGAAACGGGGGCCAGCTCTCGGCTTCTCGCGCCGCCAAACACTCTAATGACCTTGAAGCCACAGCGGCTCTAAACGGCAACTTCAACCCAAAGCATCTGACAGTTTTTCCTTCCAGAAACCAGAACTTTTCACACCTGCCCAAACCAATAAAATCCTCCTCCAAAATAAGAAACTGCACTTTGTGAAGGGTTGAGTGTTTTAACAAGCACTAATCACGCTGTGGAGCCACGGCTGCATGAGTTGGTATGAGAGTGCATGGACCTTCTGCTGAACGCTTCCTGCGAGCAAAGCGACAGTCGACCAACACTTCTGGACCCTTTTCATTTTATTTTTAGAATCACAGCAGCTTGATAGCCAGAGAAATAGAAAATAGAAAGTGTGGAGCTAATAGAACCCCAAAGAGCCTACAAATGAGGCTTGACTCAGCTTAGCTTGGCTTGGCTGTAACATGTCACACTTTTCCTGTATAGGGAGAGCCAGGACTTCCAGGGCTGCCTGGACTCCCAGGGATAAAGGTAAATGCTTCGCTGTTTTTATCCCCCCCTGGTTGTTGTCCCCCCCGCTTCAGCTGACCTTTCGTCACGCCTCATATACGACACATTAAGGTCCATCATCTCGCCTTTTTTTCCTGCTTTGTGGGATTTGCACCTCGGCTTTAATATTCCATCAGTGGAAACACCAGAAACCAGGAGTTTAGGCACCGTCTCATTAAGAATTAAGTTCCTGGAAATCAAGAGACTGGGTGTCAAAACTACTGCTTGTAAAGAGAATTATTTAGATTTTTTTTAATATATTGTTTTAGCGATGATCAGCAACAGATGGCGAAGCTGAGCAATAAGTCGGCGCCATCTTCCAGAACCGCTCCGATGGGTTTCAGCATCATTAGCTTGAAATGTAACACGTGAATGCGAGGAATGCTCACACAGGCATGATGACGACTGGTTTTCCTCTTCGTATGCTTTCGTTTTATACGTTATACGCTCCTGTTTTTACTTAAGAGGCCTGTATGCTTGATGGATTCTTCTAACAACGTATTGCTAACGTAGCACCTCCCCGAGCTCGCCGTGCACTTTGTTCTGCATTCTTTGCTGTTTATCCAATCAAAGCTTTAAAAAACAACAACAACAACCGTACACGCATCTCCCTTAAGTTGTGCATTTTGTGTGCGTTGAATGAAAAGAGCCAACTGCCTCTCCAAGGGATTCCTAATGTGCTGTAGGTGGGAACTCTGGTTGCAGATGGTGTAATCGTATATTGCAGTTAAGCAATTTTGCAATCAGATGTAATGCAAATCAAACCGAGCATCACACCTCAGACTGGAATCCGTGCAAAAATGCTCAAGCTGGTTTTTGCACGCTGTTAATCAGAACGCTCCTGTGTGTGTGTGTGTGTGTGTGTGTGTGTGTGTGTGTGTGTGTGTGTGTGTGTGATGAGCTCCTAACAAGGTCAGCGTCTATTAAGGCACATAAGAGAGAGTCAGTCATTAATATGTGTGAAGCCAGGGGATGCATTAGCAAACCACTGACAGTGTGTGTGTTCGTGTGTGTTCGTGTGTGTGTGTGTGTGTGTGTGATTTATGCATGTGTTTCTGAGTGTGCGAGCAGTAAGTGCATGCCTGTCGTTCTGAATATATTTGGCCATGCGTCTTGTGTATGTGTTTAGCGCTCATTAGCGGTGTTACACTAAAAAAAAAAAAAAAAAATGCCTCGTGGAAAAATGAGTAATAGATGCAACATTTTTTTCATTTCTTTTTAGGGTGAGCCTGGATTCCTTGGTCCCCAGGGAGAGCCGGGGCTTCCAGGGCTCCCAGGAACGAAGGTGGGGAGGACTTCTTCTTCTTCCTCGTTTGTCACAATAAGGTTGATTTTCATGCTTCAAGCCGGGCGATAACGAGATGCAACAGCTCCGACTGAATTTTTTTTTATCACAGCGCCGCCGCCGCTGCTGTTGAAATTTTCTGATCTCATTATCTGTTATTATCACTTTGCGAAGGTGATTAAACCTCTGTTGCTTCAAAATGTCACTCGGAAGCGGTCAGGATGAGCCGCCGCCTTTTGAGTCGTGACATTATCGCGCAAGAATTAACGCTCACATCATCCCTTAGTGTCGAATTAGCCTCGTGTTGTCCTCTGTTGCTTAATAAAATGTCAGGGGGATGCTAAAAAGAAGATAGGATTGCAGGAAATGCTTCGCTTTAGTTCCTTGTTGCCTCATTTCTCAGCTTGCACGATCAAAACAAACTATAACAAGTTGGTGACATATTCTTTTACACATCATGTCTCATTAGTAACTCCATCATAATTGCTGAATAATGGTTGCACGAGCCCACAGTTATACCACAGCCCCCTCTATTGGCTGCCTTCAGCACAACACAACAAACAATCTTAAAATGTTTAAGACAGCTCGATCCAAATAGGAGTTTTTGGTTTTGTCTTTTTCTTGAAAATCAACCTTGTCGAGGGTCACATCTGTCAGACAGCAGATCGCGCTGACTCATCATGCGAATCTGTCGAGTAAGCGAACCGACGAGGAGATCCCTCCACCGGAAACCGAGGAGATGCGCAGATAAAACGAAACCGTCAGCAGTTCTGCGTTTATGACGGCTGCAGGAAAACTGAGCAGGTCGTTGTTTTGTCCGTGCAGGGCGAGAGGGGCGACCACGGGCCTCCGGGGAAAGGTGAGCGAGGAGAAATCGGACCTATCGGGCCAAAGGTAAGCAGCAGGAGTGCATGTTTAGTCCTCAATGTGTGGCATGAATTGACTAACTTCCTACTTGTTGCTTTGCTGCCATCTAGAGCCCCTTTGGTGGAAACACACAAAGCATTCTCCATCATTCAAATATTCACTTTTGTCAGCAAAGGAAGCTGGATAAACCATTACAGTCTGCCATAAGTTCACCCTGGAGTCACGATGTAAGCGAGCGTACCATTGTTTATGTCTGGCACCGACCCGCGAGGCGCTCCAGCCTAAACGTAGACGACTGGTTCACGTCCTATGAGAAGCCCCCAGACGTGAAGCCCTCCCTTTTGTCAGAGTTCAAATAAACACTTCCTCCATCGCTCGGCAGCGGCTGCATATTAAAAGCCGACTGCGATTCTCTCTCTGGGGGGGAAAGAAAGAGTCGCTGATGATATTTCCTCTGTGAGACATGCATTAGAAATGCGTTGAATTTTTTATGGTGAATTTGGACTGAACCCATGAAGAGAGTTTGTTTTATATTTTTCAACTTTATGTGGCTTTTTCCTTCCTTCTTGTCCTCAAAGCTGATCATCCTGTTTTTACATCATCTGTGTTTTCCTACAGGGTGCAGAAGGAGAGGCTGGTACACCTGGGCCTAAAGGGTCAAAGGTGAGAGTTTAACTTGTGTTTTCTTTAATTTAGGAGACGGAGATGATCCCTGGTGAAAAGACGAAGCAACGAAATGTGATGCCGCCTAAGATTTCTCCTTTTTGTGGCTTTTAAACACTGAATTTAGGAATTTGCCCTCCAAACTTTACTCCTCTTTCGTGTCAAAGTGAACAGATTTCTGCAAAGTAACATCAGTTCAAATATAAAATGCTGAAGTATTCAAATGGACTCACCTAACTCAACACATGTGCAGCCAGTTGGTGCTAGACGTCACACAGTTGTTGCGGTGAATGTGTCTGAAGGGATTGTAGTGTGAAGAAGATCTGGAAGGTCACTGGTGGCTCAGTAGTCCTGGATAGAACTACACCGTGACGACAGAAGAACACGCCAAGTAATTCTGTGTCAAGGTTGTTAAGAAGGGCGATAGGCATAAGAAAACATCCCGTAGGAAATGGAAAACCAGTCCTCTAATACTGACTGACGTTGGCCACCAAGACTTCCATGACTCCCTCTGAAGCAGCTAGAAGCTCATCAAAGAAGAACCAACACTTTCTATCGGCACTGATCTTGAATTTCCACCATTACAGGATCCCTTTCGGTTATTTTCTGAGCTTTTGTGCCTGCAGGAACCTCTAACACTCTAACAGATTAAAGTTAAACAGGCCTTGTTCTGTGAAGATAGACGTGATTGACAAGCGTAAACCGTCACATCTGCAAGTAATATGCAGCGCTGGTGGAGCCTCGGAGTTGTTATTCATGAAATGTGGATAAAAATAAAGCCGCATAGCTCCGGCTGTCGTACTATGTGGTGATGTAAAATACTACAGAGCATTTTACAGATGCACTCGTAGTTGGAGTTTATTTTTATTTGTCTTCTCACATCAGGGGGAGACTGGAGATAAAGGAGACTTGGGGACTGTTGGCCCAAAGGTAAGCAATCATATGAAAGATGCATCTGCTCTTCTGTTTATTTAATTAATCTTCATGAATGATTATTACGCAGAACTTCACATAAGTGCAGCTACACCCTGTTACCACCAGAGGGCAGCAGTGAACTCTCCCTGATTGGGTTTTTGATATTGGTTTCTCAGATTTTTTTTATGTATAAATCAGGGATTTACTGCAAAATAATGTGTTTAAATGTTAATTCTAACCATGTTCAGGGCCCCCCGGGGCAGAAGGGAGACCAAGGAGCCACGGAAATCATCGACTACAACGGAAACATTCAGGAGGCCTTACAGGTCGGTTGTTGCTTCGTGCACCTCCACTCACAGAATTCAAGATATGTACATATTTACGATCCTCATAAACTGTTTTAACTCAAAAGTAGGAGATGCATTGATAAAACTGTGACACCTCACGTCTTTAAGTCCTACATTTTGCAGTGCCTTTACATTACTCAGGTTACGTCCTCTGCAGATAAATAAAGCACTGATACACAAATGAGGAAGTGGTTTTGAGGGCGACTGTGTGCAGAATTGTGCTGAGACGACGCTTTCTTTCCTGTGTGACCTCTACAATCTTATCTCTCCTCCCTCCCCCCACCTCCACCTTCTTTTCCACTCCCTCGGCCTACTGCAGAAGATTACCACTATTACAGTCACGGTAATTAGGCTCTGTGTACTCTGTGTATTGTGTCATCTCCACCAGCGATTCATCTTTGTCCTAGCATGGGCCCAACCCGGTCGCGGCGCCGGTTTTGCACTGCCCTGTCGTACTTGTGCTCCCCTCCGTCCTCGCCCCGGCCACGTGTTTTGCCTGAAAGCGAATGACGTTCCATCGTGACGCTTCTGTGTGACTCGAGCTTGTGCCGCTGCCTGAGTTGCTGGTTGTCTCCGTGAATGTCTGTGACTCATCTTTTAAAACAACCGCGTGGAGATATGATGGGAAAAATCTGGTCCAAATCATATGAGTTAAAGCACTAAAGGCAATGTTTGTGTTCATTTTTGTGCAAATTTGTTCAGAAAAATGCACCATGTTGAAAGACTTTCGTCGTTTTGCACATCTGCAAACCTGAAATGCTGCATTTTCCTAAATTAATAACTCATCATTATGATATTAAAGTTAATTTCCAATTATTGCCACTCGCTAAGTACTAAATTAATTTAATACGTAAGTTAATCTTCTTGCAAAACAACATTCTTGGAAGACTGAGTTGGGAAAACTGCTTAAGCCTTTTATTAATGCAACAGTGGGGAAATTTGCATTGGTACAGATATAAAGGGGAGAAATATAAGTAGAATAAAAATGAAAAATATACATCAGTACTCATTTAGCTTGTCCAAATTAAGCCAGATGTGGAACTAACAATATTGCACATCATTGGTTTTGCAGATTCTCCCAAGAAATACTCTGAAGAAGTATTAATATTGCACAGATTTGTCTAAAACTATATAGAAATACAGATATTGCAAAGATTCTTGTATATGCAGAGTAACTGATGCATCACAGAGTTTTTAAATGTGCAAAAAAAAATCATATTTCACTTTTTTGAAAGTGTTGATGTTGCACTAACAGCTGTACTTTAATCTGTGAACTAAAGTTTTCCCTCCAGAGTGCAGGTTATATCGGATAAATGAGCAGTTTCCTTAGAAAGTCCTCCTCATTTAGCATCACTGAAGGAAAATAAATGAGCAGATTTGCTATCATACATCCTAGCATTTGATAAAAGTGTATAATTGAGGCAATATAAGCTCCTGAAGTTTGTAGTTTATTCCACATTTTAAAAAAAACCTTATTGGGCTGATTAATGAAAGCTGCCCTTCATTTGTATGAAGGTGGTTTTACTCCACAGTGATCAATAAATGTTCTTTAACTTGGTCGAAAGCTTCTTTTTTCAGAAACATTTTTCTTTACCAAAACTGAATCTATGTAGATTTTTCTTTGATTAACTGTGAAGCCTTCGTGGTCTGAATATCTTCCACTTCCCCCTAAACAACTGCTTTAAATGGCATCGATGGTTAAATCGATCACATCCTAACATCAGAATACGTATTTCTGTCACTGATAATCGTTATTTTTGTTCTCGCTGTTGTGACTCGTGTGCATGTGTCTATCGGTTGAGCATCCTGTTCATAGTCTGATTGCTAACGTGTTGTTTTACTTGTTTGCAAACCATTACAGCTGTACTGAAATGCCATTCACAGCATATTCCACCTTGTCTGAAGACAAGTAGAAAAGCCTGAGCTGATTTCACAGACCCAATATAGTTTATATTAAAGAGAACTGAAATCAGATCTTTGTGTCTGTTTGTCCAGGGTCCTCCAGGGCCTCCTGGGCCGGTGGGACCACATGGCATCAAGGTAACAACTGCTTTCTTTATCCTTTTACTGGCAAAGTCATGACATGTAATCACCCCACAATTGCTAAACGTCTTCTTCTGTGGTGCCAGGGGGATCGTGGGATGCCTGGTCTGCCTGGACTTGATGGAGAAAGAGTGAGTCGATCTCGTTATCTCACATCTACAGTAGACGAGTCCAGTTTTATGAGGAGCGATTAGCTTTACTACTTTACCTTTATAACTTTATATTGCGTAAGCTACCAGCTATTCAGTGATGTTTATGCTGTTAAAGTCATAAAGCTGCAGTAGGTAAGAATCCAGAAAGGCCAAAAAGAAAGTAAAAAAATTAGAGCAATCCTCCTCCAAATGCTGAATGCTATAAAAATGTAAATAAACCCTGCCTACCTCAGCTTTATTATTTAACACTACAATACATAATATGTTTGCATAAATAACTGACAGGGTGAGTATTAAAATAGTTACTTTGCTTCACTTTATTCGATTATTTAATCACGATAGTGCATGTTAATAAACATCAGTATAAAAATACAGGATGCTAACATGCAAAAAATGCTAATTTATGCTAATTTAGTCGCAAAGCTGGTAACAAAAAAACAAAAACACCACAAGTAGCAATATTCTGCAACCATACATGAGTAGAAAAGGACAATATACAGTTCATTTATGTAATTCTCTGTGTATGTTTCTGTCCTCTTTCAGGGGTATAAAGGTTCCAAAGGAGACATGGGGATGCCCGGAGCTTCAGGGGAGAAAGGAACGACCGGTTTACCTGGTTTACCCGTAAGAACCCCAGACACTCGCTTTCACATTAAAAAAAAGCCTCTGAATGTGTTTGTTTCTCATTAGGTAGAAACAAAACGTCTCACGAAGCTTTTGTTCTTCAGGGTGTCAACGGGGTGAAAGGGGACAAAGGAGATCCAGGACTTCCTGGTCCTCAAGGTCCTTCTGTGAGTGGCCTCTGAAACAACATGCCAATAATACTGTGAAAAAATAAATAAATAAAAACTCTGGAGACAAAAAAAAAAAAAAAAAAATCAGGATAATTTATCTATTTATTTTGGTCATTTTTGATTTTACTGGAGATTTTATTTTTAAAAAACAAAACAAACAAAAAAAAAGAACAGGGTATTGCTGTAAAATACATTTTGTTTTTTTTTAATTTTCAATCTTTCATACATATTTTTTCTTTAAATAACAGCTAATACCTGTAGAATAATATACTTTTGCTAATTCGTATACAGTAAAAACAGAAAATTGTAAAATAACAATTTACTATTTGTAGAAATACAGATTTTTTTTTTGTTGAGGGTGTAATTTTAGCCTCTTTTTTTACAGTTAACGTGTAAATTAATGAGTTTTTTATGTAATTTTTATCATATATTGTCTGCAAGAAAAACAAAACAGAGAAAATGTTCAAAATAACAGTTGAAATACATACTTTGTCTTTCAAATTACAGCAAATATCTGTAATGTCTGTAATTTATATAGAGTAAATATCAATTATACAGTCAAATATAAAAGAACAAGTCCTAAACAAAATGCAGATTTGTTTGATGTAAATGTAATTTGGCTTTCTTTTTTATTTTTTAAGGATGACCAGTTAAATTATGTTTGTTTTGTTTGATTGTTTTTTTTTTTTTAAATCTGTGGATTACTAAATATTATCTGTAATGAAATAAAACTGGAAAAATCAGTAAAATAACAGTGGATTGTTCAAAAAATGTAGTTTTTTACATTGTGTACTCATTTTTACAGATGCTATTCAGAGCAAACTACAAAATGCTGTTACATCCTGTACTGTGAATATGAAATGCATTCAAAATCAATCGCATCATTTCTAAATCTATTATTTTCAGATTATCGGCCCCCCAGGAGCACCAGGACCCCACGGACCCCCAGGACCTATGGTGAGCTTCTGTGGACTATACTTAACCTAAACACATCCAAAACCTAACTAATGACACAGTACAAAGCTACATGACACTAATCTACTGACATACAGCACCGTCTTCATACCAGACTGTCACATAACGAGGTGGTGCAGGATGGAGTCGACACGTCTTCTCCCTGCGGTGAACGAGCCTGTTTTTAATTCAGGTGTTTTTAAATCTTCCGTTGCAGGAACTAAAAATAACTCAGCGTTGTCACGACAAACGAATGAAACGCTCGTGCAGCGTATACCGTCGGGTGATACGGTTCGTGTTGGGACGAGTTCATACGGTGGTTAAACCCAGACGATTTAAACGCTGACCTCAGAAAGCTGCTAGCGGTAGTCTGAGACACCACAACGTTCCTTTTTTGAGAAGCTCTGATGGCTAAATGACAAAACCCAGCTGGTTTGCGCTCGGTATTAACTTCTGTGGGTGTTCGGGGTCACTGCGAAAGACATTTTCTTCGACTCCATCCTCCGACTGTCTGTTTGCTTATATACAGTCACCTAGGAACAGAGTAAACACAAAGCACAGGGCGGAGCGTTTGCACTCATTGACTGTGAGACATTTTATGGTGCTGCACAGGATACAGACAGAAAATCGATTTGGTGTTTCACTAACTCATTTTTTTGCCACTTTTTGTTATTTTCAGGGACCCCATGGCTTCCCTGGACCGAAGGTAATGCTCAACAAGACAGCAAACTTCACCTGTATGACACCAAATTCAGGCAAATTAAACCAAGACGGACACCTTTTCGAAGCATTATCCAGATTTAAATCTTGCAAGAACACAGTTTTCATGTTTATCAATGCAGTTTTAAGCATTTTTGCGATTGTAACACATCCTGTAAATCATACTCGGAGATTAATGGTAGCAGCTGGACTTGCTTGAGTTCCTTGAAGACGTTCCACCTCTCATCCAAGAGGCTTCATCAGTTCTGACTGACTAGTTGGGAGTTCCAGATACTGATATCCTTAAGGAGCCATTAACACTTGAGTGGGGGTTGGTTGCTCCTCCCCTTCATTATGCAAGTCATTAGTACCCCCCCTTCCACAATGGGGTTCGTTAAGGTCTTTTGTGGATTAAACGACTCAAACGATTAAACTACGAGAATAACCATGACCTGGATGACTGAGAATCGTCACAGACATTCTCTATAAAGCCTTATAGTCACACATATATATCTTTAAATGTCCCCTTCTCAGCAAATGAATCCGAGTCTTTAGCAAAAGGCTGTTTTGCCCTGAAACCCAATGAGCTGCTGCTGTTCCTGCTGCCTCCAGGAAGAAAACTCTCTACGTCTATGATGGACATCCAGAGCAATGGGTCGAATTCTTACTCGAGGATGCTAACTAGTTCTTGGGGAGTTTTGTACCTCCAAACTTTTAAAACAACCATAAGACACGATAAAAATGGATTTTTGCCACATGGGAACTGGAAGGTGTCTTGGCAATGCAGTTGTTGGCATAACGAGACTTCGACTTTCATCTCATGTATGGATTTGCTCAGGTGTTGTGAAGATGAGACGTCTGTGGTCTCCAAGCTCAAGAATAAACCTTCATGCTTGACTTTAGCATGTCCGTTATTAGCTCAGGATTAGCTCAGCATACATGAAGAAGGCGACCAAGCAAAGAGTAACTCTTTAGAACTGAGTAGACGGAGGTTGGCTGCGTAATTGAGGGGTATTAAAGAAGATATTTCTGGCCCGGTAGAACTTCACAACAACTTTAAAGCAGAACGATCCACAGCAGCAAGTCCAGAAGGTGCAGTTGCAGGTGCAGTGACTTTGTTTTGTCCTCCTGCTTCCCTTGTTTTCCAGGGTGAAGCTGGTTTACATGGTGCGAAAGGTATAAGAGGAGAACCAGGACACAAAGGGGACCGCGGGCCTTTGGGTCTCCCCGTAAGTTCATCTCCAGACACCCGTAGAAATACCCTATTTCTATTTTAGCCTTATGGTGCTTTAGTGCACACATTCGGGTGTGTGTTTGTGTGTGTCTATAATGGCTTCTCCATGTTCTGTCTTCATTTTCATTTGCCTGGGCTGACTACTTTGCCAAGCTCCCTGTAACACACAGTGTAATTTAGTTGTTGTGAACCCTGCCATCAACCTGTCCTAATAACAGTGTTCATCTGGTACTAATCCCGCCTTGTTCATGTCACTCATACCTCCATAACCACACAGGGAGCCTCCGGCTTGGACGGCAAGCCCGGAATTAGGGTGAGTGTCATGCGACCAAGAGGCTTCACCACCCAACTTCTGTCTACTTCTTTCCCCCTCCATACAGGCCCTGATTCCTCAAGGTTTTTGTTTTTTTTTACCCATGCCACCTCATTCTTTCTGAGAAGTTTTTTTGCAAAAGTTCAGTTGGGCCACACTTGACCGTACACGACACCGTCACAGCAGGCTCTTGTTCTGTCTCGTGTTGCATTAACAGAGCATTAACACACACTCATACATTAACTACGTCAGCAGTGTTGTAGTCGTCCATGTGGCCAGTGCACGTCTGCTAGTTCTGTGGGCTTCGTAGGTCCAACCAGGCGGGGATATTGCACAAATGTGGATGTTAAACACGGTTCTTGCTTTCTATCTGCTTTTTGCTTTAAAAAATTATTCTGAAAGCCCAAAACTCATGACGATAACCAATCTCTGCAGGGCATGGATGGGCCTCCGGGTCCAGCTGGGCCAGCTGGGCCGAAGGGCGACATAGTAAGACCTCTGACTTTAGTTTTAAGCATTTTAACGCCGACTTATTTTAAAGTCACAGTGTAATTTTAACATGTATTTCCTTGTACCAGGGTGAGAGAGGAGCACCAGGTGAACCAGGACCAAGAGGACCTTATGGACTACCTGTAAGTTTGTAGAGGATATTGTTACGTTGGCATCTGTAGCGTAACACACCCAGTAGGATCAGATGATTAAAACACCACACCAAAAACCACAACAACTAACTTTGAGAAGTTGGAACACAACAAAAGATGAAATCAGGTTGAACTTGAACCGAATGCCAGCTAGAAGACGTTTTTAAAAGTCTGAGCTGTTCTTTGGAAATTAGGAGCAGCCGCCGCCTGGAACATTCCAGAGCATCAGGTTGGTTGACCTCAATGCTCTAACTGGGCTATAATGATGTAAGAGTTCTGCTAAATGAGGTGATTTATGACCTGAAAAACAAGCAAAATCTGTCCTGGAACAGAAAGGAAGGCAGTGGAGGTGATCATGCTTTCTTTGTTGTTGTTGTTTGAATTCATTTGCTGCTTACATTTTTCAGTCGTTTCGCTGAGATGCAACATCAGCATTTGTGAAAGCCAGTTGTGTGATGACAACACGGATATTTATCTTTTTGTTGTTGTTGCAGGGAGCTGCTGGAACACCAGGGCTGGATGTAAGTCTGTTTCCTTTCATTGGCTCCGTTTTTACAAGAGCAGAGATAGAATCAAAAAATTAGTAACGGAACCGTGAATCAGAAATTTTCCTCCACTGCAGGGATGCTTTGGCAAAAACACCTTCAGAATCAAATGTTAAAAAAGAAACCTACCCCAGCCTTGCAAGGTTTAACATGTCTCCTGTCAGAGGCTTGCGGGCTGTCGGCATTTATCCGTCCCGTTATCCATCATTTATTCCCTGATTAGCATCAGCTGTGCAGAACCACTTCATGTACACAAAGAAACCCAACCCACACCTGCAGAACACTCTCCATCCAATCCCCATCACACCATTTGTCATGTATTTTCCACAGGTTCAATGTAGCATTCAAAGCTTTACATTATCAAAGGCTTTTCCGCCGTTTGTGTGATTTTTTTGTTTCTTTTTTCCCCTTTGTCCCCTTTCAGCACATTTTGCAGGTATTTCTTTGGTTAAATGCTCCAAACCCAATGCTAATTAGTTGATTGCATAGAGGTGTTTACTTCCGCTTAAGGTTAATACATTAAAAGTATTTTTGCACATCAGAAGTTGCTGCTTTTCTCTCCTTAACGATCAAAAACAGTGTCTATAAAAATATTTGCCCCCTTTGGAAGTTTTTCCCCTTTCTTGCCTTTCAATGTTTAATCACTGTCAATTTAATTTGACCTATATGACAAAAAAATTACCAAAAAAACGGGGTCTTTCATGTCAAAGTGAAAACAGATTTCCACAAAGTAATGACAATCAATGGAAAATGTAAAACATAAAATAAGTGATTCCATTAGTATTGCCGATTTTCTTGCCAGTAGATGCACCTTTGGCTGCAGTTACAGCTTTGAGCCTGTAGGACGAGGTCTCAATCAGCATCGCACACATCAACACTTGGCTATTTTACCCCATTTTTCTTTGCAAAACTGCTCTAACTCTGTCAGGTTGTTCAGGGAGCTGCCTTCCTTCAATGTGCTGAGAAGCGTCCACATCATGATGCTGCCACCGCCGTGCTTCACAGTGGGGATGGTGCTGATTTGCTGTGTTTGGTGTCAAAACTTAGCCACTAGTCTGATGACCAGAAAGCTCTATTTAGGTCCCACCAGACCAAAGGAGCTTCTTTTCTCTTCCATCTGAAGCTTGTAGCTCCTTCAGAGGACTCATAGGTGTCTTGTTGGCCTCCCTCGTTTGTCTCTTTCTTGCCAAGTCTCTCATTTTTTTGAGGACATCCTGTTCTAGGTGTAAGCCTATGCCTATGACTTATGAATCATCCCTTTCACTGAGTTGCTTGGAGTCGTCTTTTGTTTTCATAGGAGAGAGGAGAGACTGGATCTTCCAGATACAGGCACTTAAGGCACATTCACTGCACTCAGATGATCTACATTTTACTAACTGTGTGACTTCTAGCACTAATTGGCTGCACCTACATTGAGTCATTTTATTCCAGTCGCATATTATATATTATATACTTTACTTATTCGACAATACTTTGCAGAAATCTGTTTTCACTTTGACGCGAAATTGTCTTTATTTGTAAATTCTCGTCAGAAAAGCTAAATAAATTCACCAATTCAATGTTGAAAAGCAATAAAAGGGCAAAACTCCCAATGGGGGTGAAGACTCAGCTGCTTCTTGGTGCACATCCCTCCGATTCCGTCCTGTTTTTTCCACCTTCAGATTTCTTTTTAGTTCGATCCTGATATTTTGTGTTTGGATTGATGTGGACAATAAAAGCCCTCTTATGTCTCAGTAAAGTAATGAAGTGGAGTTGTACTTTCACAGGGGTTGCCAGGCTTAAGGGGAGAGAAAGGCGACGATGGGGAAAGAGGAGAAAAGGTAGATGTAGATATGATGCACTGGCTGCTTAAGTAAAACCCCTTAACATGACCGAGGACTGATGTCAATGGACAGTGACAGGATCTGTAGCGGTTTTTGGTATTTATGTAGTTCTTATTTTTTTATTTGCTTTAGTTGCCATGACTACCTGAATGACTTCCCTTTACTTTTGCAGATACTGTGTTTCCCGATAATGATTCAGTCTTTTATTCCTCTCGATAACCAATTGGATAAAAGCTCCACATAACGCATAAAATGTCATCCTCTCAAACCAGCTTTTGTTCTCCACTTTTCAATCATCTCATTTTTAATTTTTTTTCCCAAAATCACAAGTCCAATCTCATTCTGAGGCATCGAAAGGTGATTTCAACATATTAGCCCAAACAAGTCCATTGACAACAGGCTCTTAAGATCCATATTTCTTTTGTTTTCTGATGTTTTCATGCATGAACATAAACTTAAACATGTCACTTCCTTGAGTTCTTGAGCCTGTTGATAACCCTTCCCTTGCTTGTGTTTAGATAGTCGATATTGTTCCGTGTTTACCGTGTTTGTCTCCGTTACACTAACCAGTAAAATGCATTTCTTAGATGTTTCCTGTCTTGAAGAAACTGTATCCTATTCAAACAAAGACACTTTGCATCCGTCGTTCTCTGTCAATCCGTGTTTTTAACCACTAGTTATATACGACTATTTATATCCTAGCACCGCTTCTCTTTCAGGTATTTTGTTTCGCCCTCGAATTATGGATGACGATTTTAAAAAATCTTTGAAAATGCACAATGAACAG